TAGACTGTATAATGAAAAACCAAGCCTATGTATTAAAAACATTCAATAAAGAAATACTATATTAATTTTTTTATTTAATATTAATATTTTGTTTTTCAAATTTGCGTAATGATTTTCAAGCCAATAAAATTTAATTGTTGCGTGATATCTGGAAGGGAGATCATCACAAAATTTAGCCAATGAAATAAAATGTCCACTATGCTTAGAAATAATAACTTTAATAATAATAACAACAATATTAATGTGGAAGAAGAGGAAAGCATTTAACAAACTTATTTGTTTATTAATTTGTTAATTTGTTTTATTTTTGTCAACTAATACATTTGTTTTTAAAATTCTTACAGAGAAATTATAATTTCTGGCCAAGAAGAAAAAGAATAAATTATAATGTAGGAAACTTACAAAGGAAATGTCAGCATAGAAATGTTGTAAGTATAAACTGAAACATTAATAATACATAACATTTTATTTAAATTTTTTGTTTACTTGTATTTATAGGACATGAGTTACAGTATATTCCAGATTGTCATAAGGAAGAATTAAGATGAACACATCCAGAGCATTGTTGTCAACATTATCACCACAAGCATCTTTGCCAGAGGTATATAATTTAAAATATAATTATATCTTAAGATAAAATATTAATTTTTTTTTATTTTTACATACAGGAGGGTGAGGAATTGTGCACAGGGTGTCCAGTTCATTGTCCCAGGGTTGGTGAATGTGTGGTCCATTGGTGGTCCATTGATGGTCTATTGGGTCCATTAGTGTAACATTTTAACTATATTTAGTATTTTATTAATGGCAATGGACCAGCTCAAAGTCCATCAGTTCTCAATGGACCAGTCAATTTGCCAACCCTGCATTGTCCTGGATTTTTTTTGAAATTTATCAAATTTCAGGGTGGGCCAAGAGCTAAATAATAAGTTGTGGTTGATCTTCTTCATTTAAAATTTATTATATTAAAATGGGTCTGTTTGTTTGAGCCATTGATGTTGATTCACCTTTAATTTCAATATAAATATATATACTGCATTTATTGTGCAAAGTTGATTTTGCCTAATTATGCTTAATTATTATACATAAAAAATTAATTATTTTATTTAGAATAATAGTTATTATTTTTTATTAATCATGAAAAAAAAGTAATTGAAAATTTGGTTATAATAAATAAGTTTATTTGGCTTTATTTATATCAAGGACCTACATTTTCAAAAAAACAACAACAATAATTTTTATCTTTTGTCTCATTAATTTGTTAAATCTGTGAAAATTATTGGATCTAATCTAAAATAAAATATGATCAATTCTCTCAAAGATAACAATTAAATTTGTGAAAATTATTAAATCTGAAATACAATCAATTTCTAACCTTTGTCTCAAATAAAGATAACAATTAAATCATTGGGTCTAATCTGAAATACAACCAATTTCTAACCTTCATCTTGAACAAAGATAATTTAAATCCATGAAAATTATTAGATCTAATCAGAAATACAATCAATTTCTAACATTTGTCTATTTCTAACCTTTGTCTCAAATAAGGTTTCTGGCCGAAACTGCTTCTATTAGTAGCCAAAATTGCCCAAATACTTTGGGTAAAATTTATTTTTTTATAAGCCCAAACTACTTTTTGTTATTAGCCGAAATTGGGCGAAATTATTTTAAAGTTGTTTAAGTTAAAACAAATTGATTCATATAGTTTTTTAATGTTCATGCTTATAAAAAATGTTGAGAAGCCCAAATTGCCCAAACTAGTTTGGGCTTTGAGAAAACAGTTTGGACCAGAACCTTAGTCTCAAATAAAGATAACAATTTAAATCCATGAAAATTATTAGATCTAATCAGAAGTACAATCAATTTCTAACCTTTGTCTTGAATAAAGATAATAATTAAATGAAAATCAGTGGATCTAATCTGAAACGAAATACAATCAATTTGTATCTTTTGTCACCTTAATTCATAGAATAATGATCCTTTACTAAATTTCTTATATAAAGAATGAATTTACTGCCATGTACCTGTTATAAATATTGTTAAAAAAAATATTAACCGTTTAATTAAAATGAATGCACAAAGAAATAATGTTGAAGGAACATCTGGACCTACTAGTAAAGGTAGCAGTAAAAATGAAGGAAATTAAAAACTCCTACAGGTCTAGATCAATTTCTTGAATTTCCAAACTCAACATTTTTTGTTCCAGAAGATACAGCTGGTCCAGATTTGGTTTTTATGGTTCAATTAAAGGTCTGATGAAAACTATACAGATGTACCAGTTTTTGTTCAAAACTATCAGTGAATATAAAACCAGAAAAGGCCATCAGAACAACAGATCCTAATGCATTTTATGCATATCAAAAGAAAGAAAATGAATTAGGTGATGATGAACCAAATTTCACAATGAGTCACTTGTAAACCAAGAAAAGAGAAGAAAAATTATTGAAATTATTGATAAAAAGTTAAGAAAGCAAAAAACAATGGTACCTTTTGGATTCGAATCTTGGTTGCATATCCAGCAAAAATTCAACAAAAAAGCTACTGGAGAAGTATTGATAATAGGTGTACAGGCACCCATGTTTCAGAATTAATGATCATAATTGATAATGAAGCAAAACATTTTTTCAAGCAAGAAGAATTGAACATCTTGAATGCTTTAAAGAAACATAAAGCTGAATATATCACATTTAGAGAAAATGGTATGATGATAGTAGTTTTATCTTCTTTTCAATAAGGAATTAATATTTATTTAGTACCCAAATAAAAAAGCAAGCCAAATAATTCATGAATTTAATTCTTTGGGTCTTTTCAAAAGCTTTATCATTGAAATGAAATTTTCCTTTATGAACCTTTGTTTATTACAAATAAAGTTTTTTAACATATTCTATTTTCAAATGTAATTAATCATTGTCATTTTTGTCATCAGAAAATTATTCATTGTCACCACCAAGAAGAAAAAAAAAATGTGATGAAGGGTTTCCTAAATGTAAAAATTGAATTGAGTTGTAGTATGAATCCTCAAAAATTCAGTATAATGCATTATGTGAATTGGTCAATTGACCCATCATACTTTAAATTTGCATTCATTATCAGTTATAATTTGTTTATTATTATCATGAATGCCACAATTGATTTCAAATTTATATTTTGTATTTAAAAAAAGGAGTACCTAAATACAGAAGGGTCCAGATATAAGAAATCCAGTCGTGTGAAATATTGGGAAGAAATTTCAGGGATCACCAAATTTTTTATATTATGGTAACACGAAATGGTATATTTAAATGCTGCGTTATCTAATTCAATAAAAAAAAAAAATATGGAATCGAGTATTGATTTAGGTTTACCGGTCACGAAAGACACCAATCCCTCCAATAATTCATCACAAAATTCTATAAAATCCACAGAAAAACCAATAGGAAGGAGGGTTTCAGGTTAGTAAAGATTCCATAGTTAAAACGTTAGTAATAAGATTAGCAATAAGAATCATTAATAATAATAACAAAAGTATCTAAAAGCCATATAACTATGTGTGTGTAGGTAAGCCATGGAAATATCAAAAGACAGCAACACGAAGATCACAACTTCCAAAAGTTTTACGTAAAAGTTGGACAGAGCGAATGAAGGAGAAAAATGAACGAATAGCTGTAAAATTACTGGAAAATGAATTAAAAGATAAAGTTGAATCAGAGAAAAAAGTATGCTTTAAAAGAGTAATTTTTTTCACATTTTGAAAACAATTATATTAACAAATTATATTATTATTATTATTATTATTATTATTATTATTATTATTATTGATATAATGAAGCGAAAACAAGAAGCAAGATTAAAAAGGAAACAAGCATTGGAAGAAAAAGAGAGATTGGAGAGATTGGCTACAATGGTATATTGTGATTTTTATTCCTTTCTGATTTCTTATTTATTTTCGATTGAAAAAAATTCCTAACAATAAATTAATTGATTGATTAGTATTCAGTAAAAAAGTTGCAAAGACTTAAAAAAAGAAAAGGATTAAGGAAATAATAATTTATTAATATTATTTATTATTCATCGTCTGAATTAATCATTAAATAGAAAATTGAATTAATTAAAAAATATATCAGGCATAAATTACAAAATCTATACAATGAATATAATATCTTTTATGCGCATTCTTCTAAAAAAAGGTCTACTAATATTTTATATCTTATTTATTTATAATTGATATAATTGATATCATTGATATCATTAATTGTTGAATATCCTCAAATTCTGCTTCAGAAAACAAATTACTTTTATTTTATCTTATTGCCCTCCCTCCTCCCTCATCTTCACTTTCTATATCCTCTCGTACAGGAATCGTAAAAATCCAACTCCTATTTGAAAAGCATCTATCATCAAATTTTGTGGCATGGAAAAATTTGATAAACACTATAGAAAACAAATAATAAATAAACTGATTAAGAATTGTTTACTCGATGCGTTTCCATTTTCTGATTTGGAGCCAAAAAAGTTCTGATATCAAAGAGCTTTGAATTTTCCTTGTTTATTTGGATGCTCTCATTTACTCATTGTGAAGACTATAGGATATCTTGTACATATTCTATCCAAATATCGTTACATCGTTTCATTAAAGACTTATTTTGATGAACCATGAATAAATACTGGCAAATCATCAATCAAAATATTTATTTAATATTCCATTTTTTAAAGCCTCAATCAATGTTCATTATTGTACTGCGATAACTATGAAAATTTGAAAGACATAAAAACTGACTCGTAAACTTTTTTCTAAAAGAAAAGATTAATAATAATAAGCAAGGATACCAATTTTAAAGTATTTGAACCGACGAAGGAAAAAAATCTTGAAGTCACTCATTAATCACCCACATTACTTTGATATACAGCCCAATTTATAATATAATTCACTTTTTAGAAAACATGTTAGATTGAAGACCCTTTAATACTGGTAAGTAAATACCTTGTAATTGTGTTCTCTATTGTTTTCTTAACAATCTAGTTTAAATAAATTATAAAACACAAGGCAGAAATTGTTAAGTAAAAGTTCATTACTGGATTTTCGTTAGTATTCCGGCACAGTTTATTTTCTCTAACAGTCAGTTCCTCTTAAATATCATTACAAAAAATTTAAATCCAACTTCATAAAGAAGATGATCTGTCGATAATTTTTAAGAAAAATAATTAACTAATTCTAGAAATCAAACTTGCCCAAATTATCAAACTACCTAATGTTCAAAATCCAATAATTGACTGATCGAAGATCAAAAGATCAAATTTACTTTTTTTTTTCCCCAATAATCCATCATATTATTAAAAATGTTAAAATCAGTTACAATTTACAACAGCAGCTACCACCAACAACGTTATATTAACTACAATAATAATGTAAATAATAATAATAATAATAATAATAATTGCAATTATTATAATTACAAGAGCAATTTTAATTTTAATGGCAACAATAATAATAAAAATTATGCCAACAGTACTACTATGAAGGACAATCATCCTAGCTACTCTAATAATATTAGCACTTATTATACCATTAATAATAATGCTCTCACTGACAGCAACGATAATTACAATGGAAATTTCACTGGAGCATATCACCATAATTATAGAGGTGGTAAATTTAATGATTCTGTTTCAATAGGTATAGCTCATGTAAATAAACGATTCATTATTGAATTAGATTCTGATGATGATGATGATGGTGATGGTGGTGAAGGTGGCGATGGTGATGGTGATGGTGATGGTGGTGATGATGGTGATGATGATGATGATAATGATAATGATGAAGTTAAAGTAGGTGTTAAAGTAGATGATGGTGATGGTGATGGTGATGAAAGTGGTGAATCTGGAAATGACAATAACAATAATGATCTTGAATCAAATGCTAGTAACGATGAAAATACTTGTGATAGAAGTTGTTCTTCAACAACATTTTTACAGCCACCATCACCTGGAGCACCAAATTACCAAAACAATATCTTGAGAAAAAACTTGTTGAAAGAATTCCCATTAAATAAATATACAGTTGATGAGGTCAATAATTATATCACAAATATAATAAAATGTCTACAAACTGGCCAATATGAATGTAAAATATGTTATAAATCAATAATATTCTACCAAGAAACCTGGACTTGTCAACTTTGTTGCACAATATTTCATCTTGATTGTATCAAAAATTTGGCATCAAAGCAGATCATGGAAACTTATTATTATGGAGAAATTTTTTGGAAATGCCCAGGTTGTGATATATCATCAAAATCATTTCCAGATTCATACCAATGCTTCTGTGGTATGTATATAATGCAATTATTGGGGGGAATGAATTTGAATTTAAGTTTGAACAAGTAAATAAATAAATAATTATTAAATATTTAAAGGTAAGACCAGGAATCCAATAAGCAAGAAAAATACAACACCACATGGTTGTGGTAAACTATGTGGAAAAAAATGTGATAATAACAGCTGTTCATATGCTTGTCAACAGTAATTATCTTTATTATGATTATCCATTGAATTAATTGTGAATTAAATTACACATAGCATAATATATGTTTTAAAATTTTTCTTTTTTGATAATCAAAGACCTTGTCACCCTGGGCCATGTCTACCATGCACTAATCCTTGCAATAAAACCTTGAAGTAATGTAAAAAAAAATTTTTTTAAATAAATAGTTTTCACTCAAAAATAATTAATAACTAACGTACTCAATATATATTTATTTATTATATAGTTGCGGACATCAGTGTCAACATACCTGCTCTCATATCGATGGATGTAAATGCAAAACTCAAGTAACAGTCAAATGTCAATGTGGTAGAATAAAATTCAATGAAATATGCCCCGAGGCTGCTGAAAATAGTGGGCAGATAATATTATGTAATAAAGCATGTGGAGATCAAAATATTTATAATGTTAAAAAGGTTAGTTAGTTAATGATTAAAAAATAAATGTTTTAATAATTATTATTATGAATGAAATATTCAATAGATGCACATTAATAATTAATTTAATTCTCAATGTGATTTTGTTTAGAGCAATGTTACAACATCCAATAACAATAAAAGTAATAGTAACAATGCTAATAATAATAGTAATAATAGTAGTAATAATAATAGTAATAACAATAATAATTACAATGATATTTATACATGTAAACTCGTATGTAGAAAATTGTTAGAGTGTGGCAATCATTATTGTCAGAGATCCAGTCATCAAGGTGATTGTGGATCGTGTAAAGAAGTATCCAATAAGTCACTTGTCTGCAAATGCGGTAGTATAACATTCCATCCGCCAGTACCCTGTGGAACAACATTGCCACCTTGTCCCTACAATTGTGAATCTATTGGTTACATAAAGAAATGGAATAATCATAATAACGGATACACCAATAATTACACCAATAGCAACAGTAGCAACAGTAATAAATCAATAAGCGGTGGAGCTAGCAATAATGTCATCGGCGGTAACATTAACATTCATAGTGACATTGATTATCGTCATCACAATCTTACTAATAATATTTACAATAACAATAATCATAATTATTATAATAATAATTATACTCGTAATAATCATTATAATTACATTCACAATAATAATATTGGTCATTATCAAACCCAAAACTACTACAATAATACTAGTAGACATAATAATCATTATTATTATTATTACAACAACAATAGACAAAGGGTTAAAGCTTGATCTTTTTTCCTTGAAAGAAAGTATCATAAAATTACAACAACCACCCTTTTTTATAAATAAAATTATTTTTTTTTTTTTTGCTACACTCTCTATAAGTGCATCCTATATCTATGCTCTGATTTAAATATAAAACTACGCACTCCAGGAGAGTACTGAAACCAATTAATTGTTTATATCATTTCGTTGTACCAAAAAAAATTCATCCAAAATGTCAGAAAAAATACACCTGAAATTTACTTAATTCTGATAAACCCGAACATGGTCAAATAATAAAGGCGGAAGCATAGTTCCAAACACATGGTTTTAACAGGGAATCTGTATTAAAAAATAATGATGAACTTGCGAACAAAATTAAATTTTGGTTATTTATTCTAAGCTACAGAATATTTTTATTTTTATTATATAGAGGAAAGGAACAAAAAATTGTTGATTATTTTTTCAACTTCTATTTCAATAATAAAGCATTGTTATGGTCAATAGTTATAGTCTTGTTTCTTTGGGGCTTAATTGAATACATAATGAAATAATACTTTAAATGTTATCGAGCATGAATTTCTCCTATCAGAGATAAATTTTATCCCACTTGTAATGGTGGTGGGAATACTAAACCCTGTAACCTAGAGTCACAATTTCGAAGAAACAAATGCATAGTCAAGGTAAAGAAAGTAATTACAAGTGTGGAGTTCATCAAAGACCATTTTGTGAAAATTTAAGTTTAACATGTTAAGCTTATGAGCCAATTTTCCTTTTTACACTCTTACAAGCCTTGATTGGCCAAGTACAGTCCCCGGCGAAAGTAATGGCGGTACAATGAAACATTATTTTTGCTAAGTTTTTATTAAGTAAATTGATCTTTTTATATTAAATAAAGTTGTTCACAATGAAAAATTCTACATATCCTAAAATTTTTATGAAGTTTAGAGAAA